GAATATAGCAATTCAAGGATATAATTTGCTAAAAAAACCAGAAACAGAAAAGGCAAAAGAAAAGCACAGTTATCCACATTGGTTCAAAAATGCAAGTGAATAAATTTGGTAATGTTTATGAGAGACTTTGGGTTAAAAAAATAACTGGAGAAACGAATAAAAGCAATACAGGTAATCCTTGACTTACAACCATTAGTTTAGTGACTGAAGTTACAATGGCACTGAAAAAGTGCCTTATGACTGTTTTTCACACTTAACAACCGTTGCCGCATCCCCGTGATCACGTGATCAAAATTTGGACGCTTGGCAACTGGCATGTATTTATGATGGTTGTGGTGACTTTGGGTCATGTGATCACTTTTTGTGACCTGATAAACAAAGTCAATGGAGAAGCCAGATTCACTTAAAAATTGTGTTGCTAACGTAACAACTGCAGCGATTCATTTAACAACTATGACAATTAAGGTTGTCAAATGGGGCTAAATGCACATAACAGCTGTCTTTTTAGCAATGGAAATTTTGGTCTGAATTGCGGTCGTACGCCAAGGGCTAGCTGTCCTGTGATCAGTGTTGTGATGAGAAATAATAGTCAGATTGTGATCTGAAAGAAAAGCTTTGCAACACCGTAGCATAAATGGAGCATCTCTCTTCCAATGGTTAAATGAGCTATGTTTTTTTTTTCAAGGGATTGTTTTGAAAGTCATTCCCTGTTGTTCCCTGCAGGCACATCTATTTTGGGCTTTTCACAATACCACAAACAGATTAATATATATTGAGAAAGGGCTCTTCCATATGCTTTGCATAGCCCTACCGGTCAGTTTAGTTCCTGTTGACAATTCAACCAAGGGGAAAGTATTTTTCTAAAATCAAACTTTTTCAAGAAGACATGAAGTGTTAAAAGACATTTTTCCTGACATTGTTTTAAGAAGCAGAGTTTTCAAGAATAGTCTTTCCAGGAAATTCCCTTTTCTTAAAATAATTACACTGTCACTTTCTCTTAAAGTTTTGTTGCTTCTACTTCCTCAGCTAAGCTAAATAAAGGAAATTTTAGACAATCAATGTAGTGCCTAATGATTATTGGAAGGGAAATGTCCCAAAATTTAGAAGGATGGGAAGAATCTGGGAAACTACAGGTTGGTCAGTTTGTATTGATATCTGCAAAGGGACTAGAACGTTTCATAATGCAAGAGATCTGTATTGAAAAGATGCAGTAATAAGAACCATCATGAATAGCTTTCAAATTATCGTAATGTGGTAGGCATAGTTTAATCTTGATTTCAGCTACATTTGGGACAAAGTATTGCTCCATATTTCATTTTTTAAAACTGCTTAACTCATTCTAATAGGTTCCCATCCTTATAGAGCAGTGGTTCTCAACCTTTCTAATGCCGCGACCCCATAATACAGTTCCCCATGTTGTGGTGACCCCCAACCACTTATACATCACCGGGTGCCAGGGGCGTGGCCAAAGAAAAGGGGGAAAAAATGGCGGACAGCCTTGTTTGGCGACCCCCGTGAAATGGTCGTTCGACCCCAAATGGGGTCCCGACCCACAGGTTGAGAACCACTGTTATAGAGAATAATTTCCTGCAAGCCTTAATCTCAATCAGGACAAGTGAGGAGTACATTTACTCCACTTTCAGACTACTGTCCTACTGCTTAATGGAAAAAAAACCAAATCCAAACTGTGTTGGGTCAGTGACAAATTGAGATAGGCCTAAGATTCTCATGATAGCTGTGAAGCATGTCGAACTACCACAAAACTACATTCCAGAAGTCTGTACCAATTCCAGGATAATTTATTTGCCACATTTCTAGGCCATCTATTTTCAAATAGTGGGGAGTGACTTCCCAAAGCAAAAGCACAAATACATTAAATGATATCCAGCGTAAAGTAAAATAGGCATATAGAGAGAAACCATAAAAGATGCAAGATATCTCCACTTCCCTCATTAAAAGGAGATTTCAGCCAGATTACCTAGACCCAGACCTGGGGAAACAACTAGCTTTTTAAGATGGTTTAAAGGCAGCCTAAATGGGGGCCATGTGGACCACTGGAGTGCTTGCGTAGATTTTGAGATAACCTCTTTCAAGTGAGATACAGGGAATTGGCCATGGAAGTAGGTGGTACACTAGCAGAATCCCTAATCTGTCCTAAATATCCAAAGTGTCAGTGTGTGTGTTCTCTAGGTAAACCTTGTGTGCCTAATGTCAAGTCAACTTTTGGGAGATGTGTTTGACATGTTTTTTTTTAGTCAAGAGACATGTTCTGGAAAGGATGTTGGCTTGGGTTTTTCTTTTCTGTAAATAAATCTTAATATATCTTTAATGCAGGTTAAATGGTATTACATAGACCTGTTTTTTAGGGAATTGATAGTTACTCATTTGAAAAGCTTGGAATCAAATTTAAACCAAAGTTCAACAATGTTAAAATGTTGCTATTGGATGTTTTATTTATTTAGAGGCAACACAATAGTGCACATAATCTGATACTTTAGTACACTGAGGAAGTAACTTTAAGGACTTCAGTTTTTGTATGGCTAAAAAAATGACATGTGGAAATCATAAGGGTATTGTGTGGGTTTAACATTTAAGGCAATTTGCCGTGGTTTAAATATAATTAGGAAATCCATTCTTTTATGTAGATGTAAAGACTAGTAAGTCTGTTGGCTTTCATTTCTTAAGAATTACAATTTGTGGTTTATGTTTTTTTATGTTATGATTACATCCTGTATAAATTGTTTGGCTTATACATATTGCTTAAAAGCCAGTTAGCCAATGTTCTTAGGAAGAAGATAGTAACATTTAGTCAACTTACCTATGGAAGAAGTTACTATGTAATGGTACATGTTACTTTGAAATAACATTAGCATTTTTTAAAATCTACTGTATGTGGCTGAAGTCTGAGCTTTATCACTTTAATACCAGTTTTCAAAACAGATCAAGGCTCTTTTAAAGAGGTTTCAAAATGAAACAAACTTTATTAAAGATCCAAACAAAACTTAATTCCCAGACTAAATTTGTGAAACTATTTTTATTTGATGTTACAACTTTCCATTTTTGGAACTCTTGAGGTACTGTGGGCCAAAAATAATACATATATGATACCTAGAATAATTATAAAGCAACTCAAAAGATGTAGACAAGTGTCCTAACTCCTCAAGAGCAAAAGAGTAAAGTCCTAGTAGCAAATATAAGAGAGGATTTCCATGAGGATGTGTATTAAGTAAGAGTCAATTCTCCAGCACTGGAGATGGATAATCCACCAATGGGTTTAGGCTGTGTTCCTGCCCAATCAGATCAAGTCAGCCAAAGTTGCCACGCCCATCCTGGACCATAGAGATCCCATTCTTGACTTGATCTCGCCCAGGACAGTTGTGCAAGTTTGGCTCTTAGGCAGGTTCAGTCTCTATCGGTGGATTTTCCATTTCCAAATTGCTGAACATTGCTGTATTCAGCACAGAATTTGGCCTTCTAGTAGTAATTACTAGTCTTACTTGAACGCCTTTTCTCAGCACGGAGATGGATAATCCACTCCCGCCCTCACAAGTTACTTAGGCCTAGGGCTAGATTGATGAGCCAATATGTCTTGCAGTCAGTCAATGGCTACGCTCGCATCAAGAATGGGATCTCTATGGTCCAGGACGGGCATGCCAACTTTGGCTGACTTGATCTGATTGGGCAGGAACACAGTCTAAACCCATTGGTGGATTATCCATCTCCGTGCTGAGAAAAGGCGTTCAGGTAAGACAACGTCCCTTCAAATTTTTTACATGATTTGAAGAGCTGAATTGATATAGATCATTAGTTTGTAATAACAATCTAATCTTGCAACCACTGCAGAATTATTAAATGTGCAATTTGATAACCAATTTATTGCACATTTGTATTTAGATATTTTCACAGTGTTGCCTTTCAATCAAAGCTTCATACAGCTGTATTTCTTTTTCTTTTTTGTCAGATCACCTTAGAGTCTTTTCTTTCACTGATCAGATGTACTCATATTGAATATATGGTCCCTTAGGACAACAGCTGTCAAATATAGTCCTTTGTGGAGAGGTGTTTTATTTGTTTGTTTGTTTCCTTAGTCCCTTGTGGCTACTTGAGACATCAAAATCCAGCCTGAAATGTCCCACTATAAATAAGGCCTTATATCACTTATGGCTTTAAAAGTGAAAAGAGCACCTTGAAATTGCATTAAAAAAAACGGTACAGATCTTTCAGCATAGGCATAATACAATTACTGTGACATGAACCAGTCAGCACTATAGTTACTATATTCTATAATTATCTTCAAATATATGTTTATATAAAGTTTGTTGATTTTTAATTATTATGTAACTAAGACATGGGTAACTGTTGCCAAACTCAATATTTCATGATGTGCAGTTGCTAGATTTATACTTCAGGACCAGAAGTTAAGTTAATGTTGAAAAATTTCTTAAAACTCAGTCTTCTCCATCCCCCTTCTCCCTTTCTGACTGTTAAATGAAAAATATTTTATGTTTAAAATATCCACCTGATCTACAAACAGTTGTCAGCAATGTGTCCTTTATATTGTGGTTTAACATACTGAATTTTCATGAAGTTGAGGTTTTGTGGTATCTTCTAATCTGCCACGGCACTTTTATTACACAATTTTGCCGCATTTTTATTTAAAAAATTATTTCAAATAAAAAGCAATTATTTCAAAAGAGCCGTGGTAGCACAGTGGTTAGAATGCCATATTGCCAGCTTTTTCTGCTGACTGCCAGGAGTTCGATCCTCACTGGCTCAAGGTTGACTCAGTTTCCGAGGTCGGTAAAATGACCCATATTTTGGGGGGCAACAGCTGATTCTGTAAACTGCCTAGAGAGGGCTATAAAGAACTATGAAGCAGTGTATAAGCCTAAGTGCAATTGCTATGTGAAATATTTTATTTTACCACTCATGCTTTTGTGAGATAATTAGGTATAGCTATTCTAGTTATGCTTTTATTAATATT